CCCCAACTCTATTCTCCATCTTCATCGCTATGATACTTCACCTTGTTGATGGGAAGCTTCCCACCGGAGTGGAAATCATCTATCGGACAGATGGCAAGCTATTCAACCTCAGCAGACTGAAAGCCAAAACCAAGGTTACAACAACATCTGTTATAGAACTCCAGTATGCTGATGACATGTCGTCTGTGCGCATTCAGAAGAAGATCTACAAGCCACTCTCTAAACACCTTCGCAGAATCATACGAGAAGCTCGGCCTGTCATTGAACATTGAGAAAACCAAGGTGCTGTTCCAGCAGTCACCAGCCAACCCCTCTCCAATGCCAGAGATACAGCTTAATGGTGTAACATTAGAAAATGTTGACCATTTCCGCTACCTTGGCAGCCACCTCTCCACCAAAGTCAACATCGACGCCGAAATACAACACCGCCTGAGCTCTGCAAGTGCAGCATTTTCCAGAATGAAGCAGAGAGTGTTTGAGGACCGGGACATCCGTAGGGAGACCAAGGTGCTTGTCTATAAAGCTATTGTCCTCCCAACCCTGCTCTATGCCTGTGAGACGTGGACTGTCTACAGACGTCACATGCAGCTCCTGGAACGTTTCCATCAGCGCTGCCTCCGGAAAATCCTGCAAATCTCCTGGGAAGACAAGCGGACAAACGTCAGTGTGCTGGAAGAAGCAAAGACCACCAGCATTGAAGCGATGGTCCTCCAACATCAACTCCGCTGGGCCGGCCACGTTGTCCGGATGCCTGACCACCGTCTCCCAAAGCAGTTGCTCTACTCCGAACTTAAGAACGGAAAATGGAACGTTGGTGGACAGGAAAAGAGATTTAAAGATGGGCTCAAAGCCAACCTTAAAAACTCTGGCATAGACACTGAGAACTGGGAAGCCCTGGCCCTTGAGCGCTCCAGCTGGAGGACAGCTGTGACCAGCAGTGCTGCAGAATTTGAGGAGGCACGAGTGGAGGGTGAAAGAGAGAAACGTGCCAGGAGGAAGGCGCGTCAAGCCAACCCCGACCGGGACCGCCTTCCACCTGGAAACCAATGCCCTCACTGCGGAAGAAGATGCAAAGCAAGAATAGGGCTCCACAGCCACATACGGACCCACAAGGAAATCCATAATGGAAGACCATCTTACTCGTCCAACGAGGGATCGCCTAAGGAAGGAAGGTCATTTGTGACTTAAATTGAATTTTATTTGTTTCTGACACTAACATGTAGGGTTATAATTTGATGTACATTGCTGCTGCTTGTTCTAACTTTTTGTGTCACTCACCTCTCTTTAACAAGTATATCTTTTTACACTTCCCCTTCCTTTGTTTGATAAGAAATGCTTTCGAGCAGCAAAAATGTGTATTTCATCCTAAAGCTTCACCTCTGTGGCTTGTTCATGTGTCTAAACCAGTGTTTCTCAAAGTGTGCTCCTCCAGGGGTTTTGGGCCTCAGCTCCTAGAAATCCCAGCCAGTTTACCAGCTGTTAGGAATTGTGGGAGCTGAAGTACAAAACATCTGGAGGAGCACAATTTGAGAAACTCTGGTCTGAACTATCAGTAGAAATTAGGGCCAGCAACTTGAATAATTTTGCAATAAGAACATATAATTTAAGGGCATTAGGTCAATAACACTTGATGATCATTAATCTTAGAAAGAGCAGGGGAAAATAGATAAATGTAAATTATTCCTTGGCTTTGCATTCTGAGATCATTTTATAATTATGAAAATGAAGTCAAGGGTTAAATAGGCTAATCTTTTACTTAAGAGGGGTTCCCGCTTAGGGCGCATCAACTTTCAGTCAATCCTTATATTAAGAAAGGTCATCTGTTTATGTACACATTAAACCACAGAGCAACAGCTCAGTACACCAAGATGAAATTAGCGTGACTCTAGTTTGGAACATAATTAATGAATGTTTATCTCCAATTGTCTTCTGTCAATAATAACAAAGTAGTGGTAGGAATAGAAAATGTCATCATGTTTTATAGTTCAGCAAGATGTGTTCTACTTTTAGAAATGTATCACATTATGGAATAAGTAGCATAATGAATCCATCAAATAATAATCAAACTGGCAGTTGAGAAGAATATAATACCATTTTGTTCTAAAAGTTGTAATTTACTTCCTTCATATAAATATCCTTTAGAAATATACTAAGGACCATACCGGTGAGGGGCTGCAGGGGGTTTCACCATGTAGTGTTGTGAATCCATGGGCTGTGGGGGGAAACTGTTGCCCTTCATTGCCCATTGCACCACTTACCTTATCCCATAGTGGGAAGCATTGCTCCCGGCTTCCCCCTGTTCTTCTTTATGGAACACAGGAAGCTTCTCATGTTCCCAGGGAAGAGGCCTAGCACACTGCCAGGATGCTTCCTCTATGTAGTGCTGCTGGAAATTGCCTTACATCATGTGATGGCATCCATCAGACTCTGAGGAGGAAGTGTCCTGGCAGAGTATTAGGATGCTCATTTTCCTCTATGTGATGAGGTTGTTAGAATGAGCCAAATGAGACATATTTCTAAATAGAAATGTATTGGAATGTACAGTTAAATGTACAATAATTTAGATATGCTAAAATTAATAATGTGCCTTCATCTCTCCCCAAAAGCTAAATAATATAAATTGCTATTGAGCTGTCATGTCTTTAAAAATTATGAGAAATCCAATAGGTATAATTTCTAAGTAGAGCTTTGTAATTCTTTGAATATGATAAATATCCACATTGAACATCATTTTAAGAATGTTTGTGTCTAATTGAAAAATAGATTCCATTAAGTTCAATGGAGCTTACTTTCATGCAATTGGCTAAAGGACTTGAGCTTAAGTCTGTTTTTCTAAATTTTCGCTCGTAACCAAATATTTTAGTTCAAACATTGGCTACTAGAGAAACATGAGATATTGATACAGCATAAAAAATTAATGGGTCATAATTGTTTAGTTTTGTTTACTAACCATGAGTCAAACAAATGCACTCAATACAAATTAATTGCTTGCAATCAGAGAAAAAAAGATGGAAAATCCTCACCCATGGATTAGCATGTTTAATTTTCTAGTTACTCAGTTGTCAATAAACAAATGTTATCCACAGAGAACCATATGTTGGGGAGTCCAGAATTCATTAATGATAACACAATAAAGAAGAGGAAGATTATATAGGAAAATATATGTATTTAAAATCTTTTGTGCATTCTTCCTTGCACTAACAATAAATTGTCCTTTACAACTAACAGTAAGCAGAGACATTGTATTTTTAATACTGGGGTAGAGGAAGTAGTATAAGATTTAAAATGTTAGTAGAAAGTAAAACTAGCTAGATTTTGTGTTCTGCAGTCTTCTCTTTTTAAACAGAAAGAAATCCCTATTTAAGCTACCCATAGTTTAATGGAAAGAAGTTCTTGTTTTAAGTGTATGAGTCTGCCAGTTTGAATTTGTAATATTTCAGTTCCTAAACCTGCAGTTATCTATCTGTCTACTTATTTGTCACGATGATCTAGTTTCAGTGTGTCATATGAAGTTGGGGAGCATCTTCTCCATCCTCCTAGAACCCAACTGGCAACCATTACCCAGAGAACCTTTTCATCGGCTGCCCCAAGACTCTGGAATGATCCGCTGAATGAGCTTGGGCAACTAACTGAGCTCTCAGAATTTTAAATTATCTATGCCAGGCATCCTTAGAGGTTGTGAGATCTGTTGTAAATGAGGCAGTTGAGGTTTATACATTTGTGAAATGTCCAGTGTGGAAGAAAGAACTCTTGTCTGTTTGAGGCAGGTGTGAATGTTGCACATGGCCACCGAAATCAGCAATGCGTGTGGGGGGGGGGGGGGGGGATGTCGGGAGTGACTTGAGCTGGTCTCAGCCCGACGGCAGGAGAAGGGGGGGGGAAGTCATATAAGGCGTCGGCCTTTATTTACTGTACTGATTTTAGAGTTTTTTAAATACTGTTAGCCAGATTTGATTCACTTTCATGGTTTTCTCCTTTCTGATGAAATTGTCCACATGCTTGTAGATTTCAATGGCTTCTCTGTGTAGTCTGACATGGTGGTTGTTGGAGTGGTCCAGCATTTCTGTGGTCTCAAATAATATGCTGTGTCCAGGTTGGTTCATCAGGTGCTAAGCTGACTTCTCTGGTTGAATTAGTCTGCAGTTCCTTTCTTGTTCCTTGATTCATGTTTGGATGCTGTGTTTAGTGGTCTGTATTTAGACTTGTGCACAACTGCATGGTATACGGTAGACTCCTGCAGAGGTGAGATGATCCCTCTTGTTCTTTGCTGAATGTAGCATTTGTTGGATTTTGTTAGTGGATGTATGGATAGTTTGTATTTTGTGTTTCCTCATCAGCTTCCCTATGCGATCAGCGGTTCCCTTGATGTATGGTAATAACACTTTTTCCTCTGGGTGGATCTTTGTCTTTACTCTCGTGGCTTGTTCTTGGTCTTGCAGCTCTTCTGATGTCTGTGGTGGAGTATCCATTGGCCTGTAGAGCCCGGTTTAGGTGGAACCACCCCACTTTTAACCTGTTCTCTCCCAAATTAAAGGTACAGTGTGAAAGGGCCCAGAGTTATCCCCCCTCTCCCTTCAATGGTCAACATGGTGTTTATAATTGTGTCTTTTTTCAGTAGAGATGGTCAACTTGTGGTCCTATTTTTTTTTCAAACAGTGACACTCAGCTTCTATCACCATAAGCAATGCAGGGCACAATATATGTTCTAATGGAGATTTAGAAATATTGCTTATATTTCATTCTGCTTTAATGTTTGCATATTTGTGTATGCTTTAAATTGTATGCTAATGCTTTTATGTCAAACTGCTTTGAGTCTCCTTTGAAAGAGATAAAGCAGGATATAAATAATAAATTAAAAATACTCCTGATGAAAGTTGCATGCAGGGATTTCTGGGTGGCTCCAAGTTGCCCATTTCAGTATTGCAGATCAATATGATGCATTTTAATATTTGATAGCCAGCCATTCTTGTTATGATAAAACCTCTTTTTTCCTCTCTTAGACCCACATCTCTTGGTGCCATAGCACATGGATTTCAGGACTGCATGTGAAGAGGTAAGGACATTTTTTTTCAACATAAGAACCCACATATGTATGATTATTCTCTTGTTTGTATCTTAACTATAAATATAAGAAAGATGACTTGAGTTGTTTTAGAGAAGGCAAAAAAGAGCCAATTAATCTGGATGATTTGAGAGAAATGAGGAATGCTTTCCAAGGCCACACACAGCAACATATCAAGTGTGCCTTAAAGCAAATATCACACAATGTGGACTTTAGCACAGGTTCAGACAGCCAGAAGTTTTCTCTCCAGTTGTAATGATTTACAAGTGAAAAACATACTGTGAAAATTTGTTTATGTGCACATATGTATGTTCTGTTCTCTGTTATGCTCTTCCATTGTAGGTGGCTGGACCATGAAAGTTTTCCAATCAGTGTTGCTTTTCTACCTGTTGTTTGCTGCTTCTATGTATCCAAACAGTAAATTGTTAACCAAGAGGTGGTATATACAAAAACAACATACAACTTAAATGGAGCACATAATAAATAATCTCTAGCCTAAAGCAGAGTACTGTCAGCCACATCCACATCTGCAGATTCATGGGAGTCTTGCACCCCTAATCCCAGTGAATGTGGAAGGCTGGCTGTATTTCCAATTTTAACTGGCATTACTGTGATAATGTGTTTCATGCTTGATTCAGCTTGTATATGCTTATAATATGGGATAACTCTATTCTCCCATATAAGCTTGAGATTTTCAGGTGAGTGATAGAGATGAGAGAAAAGCTTTTTCAGTGGCTGTTGTAGGCTTTATTGGAACTCCCTACTAAAAAAGAATAGACAGAGAAAGCTATTTTTATTCAGCAAACATTTTGTAAAGCCAGATTGCTGCAGATAGGAGTTTGATCTGGATTGATTTCATCCCACCCCCCCCGCCTTGTGTATATCAATGCATTTGATTTGTTTTAAGTGTTTTATGCATTATTTTTTTAAAAAGGTGGTGATATAATTTCCCTCTCTCTTGGATTACCTTTTAAGAATAAAGATGCTGGGAATCTGCCCTTTTTATTTTTCAGTTTTGCTATTCTATAAGCAGGAGATCAAACAAAGGGTTTTCTCTTTCATGCATTTATTACAACAACAAAAATCACTCCTGTAAAATGGCAGTGATCTCACAGGGTATATATGTGTAAATGGCATTTTGCAAATTGATTGAATAAAGCAGCTACTGTGGAGTGCAGACAGAGAGCCAAGCTCTGAGTTGTGCTGCTCCAGACACCTCTCCGATGGAACAGATTATTTACTGGAAATCTGGGCAGCCTTAGCCCCCTTTTCATCTATTAGCTTTTCAGAAGCTGAAGATGGTGGCAAATGAAATATAAATCAAAATACTAAACAGGACAGATTCCAGACAAGCATGTGTTTGCTTGGCTTTATTGGATATGAAAAAAAGTTTGCCTTTTATTCAGCTCCAAAGGCTGCCCTATTTATGCGTATCAATACTGCTTTCAAGTGGGACAGGAAGGGATGTAATTTAACTGGGGATTTAATTTAAAGAGATATTGTGCAGCAGTAGCTGCTGGATAGCAAGGCAAAGGCTACCAGGACCTCATTACACTTTAAAGTGCTTTCCATGCAAATTAGATTTTTCTGCACATGTGCAATCAGTCACTCAGTGAATAGCTGGCTTTTTTCCTCCCTTCTCTCCCCTCCTCTCCCCCATGCTTGACTTTCTTGTTCGAAGTGTGAATAGATTCTGCCCATGTGCATCACAGTACTGACTTCTATTTTAATTTCATCGTGATGCTTAATTATGTCTACTGTATGGTTACATGCTGCTTAATTCTTCCTCCCAGCGCTCTTCATAAAGCTTCTCCAGAGATTTTATAGGGTAATCAGCCAAGTCAGAAGTGTGCAGTCAAGTAAAGCAAAATGACTATATAAACTATTTAACATTCCTCAAAAATAATTTTACCTTAGGCTGCTCTCAAATTAATTGGAAACCATTGGGAGGTTCCTTGGTTTGGATCAATATGGATCATCCTGACACCCTATTCCCATTCCCAATGACCTTGTTGGGTTGAGATTAGATAGCAGAATAATAAAATAAGTTGTACACAGCCCTTTTAGAATTTTTTCCTCTTCCCTGCTCCATATCCCAGATTTCACTCACTGGAGATGTCCTTTTTTTCATAAATCAGGAACCTGAAGCAAATTTAAATGTAATGTTCTATGAAGCATTATCTGCCACACTTGCTTCAGCAAAGAAATGACTTGCCAGAGGATAGCCATAAAATTCCAGTATTGGAAGAGTGTCTGCCATTCAGGAGCTGGGTATCCAAACAGTTTTCCCAAACTGTGAACCTGCATTTTCAGGGGAACTGTAATGACATCTAGCTCAGTGTCATGGATCTGCTTATTCAACTTCAAACAAAGCTGTACCACACAGGCTGAATCCCTGTTCCCTGGTCTGCCTTTTGACTTACCAGGAGTACCTCTATCTTGTCTAGATTAAGGTTCAATTTGTTTGTTCTCATTTTCTGCAGTACAGTTTTCACATCATTGAAATTGGGAGGGTGAGGAACACAAAGAAAAAAGTGTGAAGTTCAGTAGTGTGATATATAGTGTGCACCAGAAAACAGCATTTTCCGTGCAAGAAATCTCTGCATACTGACTAAACTGTAGAACATTGAATATAGGAGAAGAGAAGAAGCCCTGGGGAGTAAGCAATTTCCAACATTGTAATTGTAATAGGAAAATAACATTCTACAGCATCTTCTAACACAGAAAGCTGTTTCTCCATTCTCAGATCATCATCATCTCCCTACTTCCCAGTTCAGAAAACATGGTCTAGAATGTGAGGACCAATTGGCACATTCTATATACGGAAGGCACAAATGCATTGACTCATGGAATTGTGCTATTCAGGAATGGCAATAAGTTTAAGGAAAAACTAAAGGAGTGATGTTGGACAATGGGGGTAGGGAATGTTTAAGCTACAGCACCAAGGGCAGAGAAATCTTGTCTCTGTTGACAAGTATGAATGGGTAACTAACTAGCAACATTCTTCAGGACTCAAGGATCTGTGATTCCCTGTGAGGGAAAAGGACTGAACCACAAGACCAGAGGACAAACATATAGTTGTCTAAAGAGAGTACTGAACGGAAATTGCCCATTTTGAAAACAGAAGCTAAAAAGAGAAGAGGCAAAATCTCTTTGATTTTATGAGATAGTCAGAAATCTGTAACCTACAACATGCCTTTCACATTGTCCAGATATATTCTTTGCCCTTGTTTGGAATGTTTCTTTCCAAACTGACCAGCTGGATTTAGTTAATTAATCCACTGACACAGGCTGTGATCTCAAATGCACTTGAAATGAATTTCTCTCTGCATGAGGAGCTATTGGATTATAATCATAAAGCAGGATGATTGGAATCCTTCATGGGGTTTCCATGCTCCGCTATGATCCGAGTTAAGCTCCTGGCTCATGAGCAATCCTAACACTTCTAATTAGATTAAACAGAGGTTATAAGCTTAATGCAGGCTTCCCGGGTGACACACTGTATTAAGTAGTATCCAAGGTTGAACTGTGTGTACTGTAGCACTGATTACTGAAAGGCATGCCATGATATTGTAGGGAGATATATTTTTAGAATTTATGATTATGTTAAAAGCAAGCATTGATAGTTAGTAGCAGTTGCTTATTACTTGTGTAAAGAGATCAGATTAATAAGTAGATTTTACTGAATGAACCATCTGCAATTTACTAAAATGTAACTAGTAATCACTTTTGCCATGAAATTGTCTTCATATTTCTCATTATAGTAGATATTTTTGTTGACAAGCTTCTAATCTGACTGGATTGTATTAGTGTCTTTACTGAATATCCTAGTTTAAAGCTGGAAAATGTATGTATGTGTGCATTCTTATAACATTCACTTTTATAATGCAGCTTAGAATCTAAAAATCCCCTTTTCTCCTTTTGAAGACAAAGACAGGGATTTGTTTGCTGCAGGATGGTAACCAGGAGCCTTTCAAAGTACGGCTGCACTTAGCCAAAGACATTTTGACAATTCAAGAACAAGACGTGATCTGTGTGTCTGGTGAACCTTTTTATTCTGGTGTAAGTATCATTTTCTCCAGTGACTTCACGACTGATAATATTGTACATGTTAAACTTTCCAAATTAATTTTTGGCTTTCATGGGGAGATGTAGAAATATACAGCAGCTGTAAAATTGCTTGACATAAATCCTGACTTGATACTTCCTCGTGTCCTTACTGTAAGAAGTTTTACATTTTTATTTGCTCTGTTTGAAAGGGCATTTTCAAGACTGATTTTTGTACAAATGTTGTTTTGTTCCCAATTAAAAATTGTAGCTTGAAATTGATACTTCTGCACCAATCGCAGAAAACACTACCAAAAAATAAAATAAATGATGGTGCCTCAGTCTTATATTTGAGAAAAGGTTGCCACATTCTTGTCGGGCTGTCTCAATCAAAGATTTCCCCCACATCCCCAAGCAATGTAGTCAGCCCTACAAAGAAGCTGTGAAATAGATCTAAACGGAACATTTTGGCCTTATTTCCCTTTTGTTGAAATAAGAAGACCATAATCTGCAATACATTATCAGGGGAACATTCACATTTGGATTTGATACATGGCAATTCTTCAAAGTTCAGAGCTTAAGGATCAAAGATACTTGGAATTATGGTTCTCAACTGTTGCTCATTTCAAAATCTATGATGATGCCTCCAACCACTAGCCCTGAACAATCACAGATTCTCAACATTCTGTTAGCAGCATCCTATTTGTAAGTATATGTATGTACATCTTTTAAACAAGGTACAGAGAGGTATTTTAAACAAGGTACAGAGAGGTATTCTCTAGCCCAGTGGTTCTCAACCTGAGTCCCCAGGTGTTTTCATCTCCCAGAAATCCCAGCCAGTTTACCAGTTGTTAGAATTTCTGGGAGTTGAAGGCTAAAACATCTGGGACCCACAGGTTGAGAACCACTGCTCTAGTGCTTTGCATTCCATCTAAAACCTTCCATCCCTATAGCTATCAAACTTGAGAGGGCCATCACTTCAGTTGCTTACGGATAGCAGGGCAGGTTGGGGAAAGCAATTCAGATGATGGATGTATGACTATTTCCAGTGACGGAAAAGGAGTGTGCATTTCAACTGTGACCATATTTCCATTTCTTTATCTCTCCAAACTGTGATCAACACCTTCTTCATTGCAGTCTTGACCAAAGCATGGTATTATTTCGGAGTGATGAGATGAGAAGAGCTATTGAAACAATTACTCTACTTTCTCTTTTTACTTGTGGATCTCATATTTCCCTCTGCTATTCAAGGGAATTGTATACAGTAAAACAGGCCAGAGGTCAGCTAGTGTATTCACCAAGAACATTCTTTGAAAACAATTAAAGAGGTACTAAAGCACAAGTGGCCTTATTGAGTGTTGTGGAAAAATGTTTCAGTTCTGGATGAATCTTCTGGATTTGGTGACTGAACATTTTTTTCCTGTTAGGGGATCTCCAAATTCTAATATGCTAAAGTCATCAGAGACTGGTCATAATTCTTCATGCCAACTTAGTCACCAGACATCAGATAGTTTTGTATGGGGTATCCAGTTCACAATGGCAGAAGACTTGTAATCTGACCTAACAGCAGGGGCTGGATCAAAGTGAAGTCTGAATCACACAGCCTTCAATCAGAGAAAAGACTGTCACTTTTATAGAATAATTAAAAATGGTTAAATAAGAAACCAAAATTATAGTACAGGTTTACTATAGTTTATGAAAAAGCTAAAACAACACATTTTTTAGTGTTATAAGTGATGTAAACAACCACATGCGATATATCAAATCTTGTATCAAGTTACATTGTTACACTTACGGTCACTTATGGTAGCAGTTCCATGATTTCAAAGTTAGCATAATACAGTTTTATTTCATAATTGGCTGATTTTGCAACTGATTACACCACCTGTTTCATGTCAGGTTATACAACTTTATTTGCAGCCTCTTCTGCAACTGCTTTTCACAACTGTTCACCCAAGTGGTTAGCCAAAGACATGATGCAACTGGTTACTTGTTTTTCAGAAGCTTACTTGCAAATGCTCTGCACAACTTCTTCTACAGCTTTGTAATACTGTGCAACTGCATGGGAATTTTCCAACCACAAGTATTATATTGGCTTTAGGCCCAAGAGTATATGACAAAATGGGGGCTTGTTTCATTAAATGTAAAATAAATAAATATACTATTAAAATCAATGGAAGTATAAATTCTGAATAAATAGATGATCTGATAAGGAATGTCTAAAGTAAAGAATATACTTGCTAGGCTTCAAAAACTAGCACATGAAATATTGATAACTGGTGGCAGGATTTCTTCTTCACATCATGATGGCAGTACTGTGATCCATTCTGCCATTCTCCATATAATGCATAGTAATCAATATTGGTAGAATAATAATTGTGGCATTTCCGTTATTCACTACACAATGGCAAATTATTTCATCATCAATAATATGTTTTGTAGGATGCCATAGCGGAAAATAGAGATGTCCTGGAACTGTTGGTCTCAGAACATCCTGCTGTGGCTGTGTTGCTTGTTTTTGCCTTAGAAAACTGTTCAAGGATTATGCTTCCTTACCTTTACTAAAGGAAAATCAAAGGAAGTTAGTAGTTTTAGTCAATGACAGCTCTACCATGTTATTGGGCCATATTTGATTTTATTTACTATAAAATCTATCAGTTTTCAGTTGCATTTGCTTGAGATTCTAGAACAGCCATTGCTTCTATTCTTGCTGGTGTTTAAATAATATCTATGTATGCCTGCATAGTATTTTTCATTTTCTCTGCAGTGCTATGGCATATAGCCATAGCCAGTGGTATATTCTTATTAGTTTTTTATTAGTTTGACTGTGCATTATGTCGACTAAAAGAAAACCCATTAGTTAATTCATATTAGTCTGATAATGAGATTTACTGTTCTTGCCAGAGCAATTTTAAAATTGACATCTTTCAAATACTTTGCTTTTATTCTTTTTGAAATAAGATGGGATCCTGAAACAATGGCTTCAGCCTAACTGTGAAAGACAGACTCTGCATAAAAAATGACTATTTCTGTTACAATTTCAAAACAATGTTTACTACTAAATGTACATGATAACTTTTTAAACAGATACCAAACCAATGGCTGCCATTACAAGGCACACAGTTAGAAAAGTGACTCAAATTCTGTGAACTTTTCCATGACATGTCAGCCGGTGGCACAATGGGTTAAACCCTTGTGCCAGCAGGACTGAAGACCGACAGGTCGGAGTTTCGAATCTGGAGAGAGCGCGGATGAGCTCCCTCTGTCAGCTCCAGTTCCCATGTGGGGACATAAAAGGAGCCTCCCACAAGGATGGTAAAACATTAAACCATCTGGGCATCCCCTGGGCAACGTCCTTGTAGAAGGCCAATTCTCTCACACTAGAAGCAACTTACAGTTTCTCAAGTTGCTCCTGACACATAGACACACACAAGCTGGCAAGATGCCCAGCTTAATATTGTCTATGATCATTTGGTATTTATCTCATACCACTCAATATTTTGAAGTAATTATGAATAATCTAACTGTGTCTCCTAATGTAAAATTTTACTTTCCTATCTCTGGATGTAGAAGGTCCCTAATGTAAAAATAGGATTGAGATTGGGCATTACTCAGTGCTATTCAGAATCTAAGCTTTAGAAACATCAGATACTAAATTTTTCTATGTCCTGATAGGTTCATGTTGTCTACATGAAATGATATGGTTGTTGTTTGGGTCCAGCCAAAGAATTTAGTTTCCCTACACTTGAATTGTATCCTGAAACAAATGAGAGGGGCTCCTGCACATTAAGTACTTTGTTGTTTTAAATAAATGAGATACCTGGGCTTTCTGTATGCTTGTTTGTAAAGAAGAGGAATTATATAGTACTGAGCATTTATATTCAGCAATTCATGCTCACACTTCTTTTATTTAACTGAATGTATTTTTCTTTTTCATTGTTGTGATGATGCTGCAGCTATAATTTGTCACTTTACAATTAGAAAAACAGAAATAGCTGCTTTTCTTTCCCTCCTCCTAATGCCAGAATTCACTGCAGTATGAGAATAAAGTGCCCATTATAAAGACAAAGTGCTTAGGCCAAGAAAAGCCCATTCAAATTGTAATTCTGAATATTTTCCTAGGAAGTATTTAATCTGCATCCATACTGAACTTGATTTGTTTTTTTTTTTAATAGGAAAGAACTGTAACCATTAGAAGACAGACGGTAGGAGGATTTGGATTAAGTATAAAGGTAGTATGTGTTTTCCCACTGTTTCTTATGTTGTGTCAAAAAATATTTTATTTTTTAGAGAATGTGGTTGAGATCAAAAGGTGCTTGACTGAATGTTTACCTGCACTTTCAAGGAGTCCTGAAAGGTTTCATTAAGGGTTTGTGCACTTTTACAATAGGTAATAAACTTAGACTTCCTCTCCTCCCCCCATTAATGAGAGAACAATCAGAGGCACTATTTCATTATAAGCAAATTTATACTTTATACAGTTATGTGTATATAATGTAAAAGATAGAGAGCTGTATGCATGCTCTAGTTTATTGTACAGTTGTACTTTATTTTAAAGAGTTACTAATGTAGGCTAAATTATCATGGCAGGAACACAGTGTTGTGAGTTCTTAATGAGTTCTTCATTAAGTTCTGAGTTCCTTGTTTAAAAATATAGTGTCACCAGATGGAATCCAAATGTATCTTCTCTTCATAGCTGGGTAAACCTAGGAAATACACAAAAGCAAGAAAGAAAATCTTAAAGGTTGTACTTTATCTTTGAAGCAGCAGACCCCGGTGGCGCAATTGGTTAAACCATTTTGCTGGCAGGACTGCTGACTGTTTAAGGAGCTCCACTGCCTGCCGTTTATCTACCGGGCCCAATTCATGGTGCAGGTCTTGGCCTACAAAGCCCTGAATGGTTTGGGACCCTCCTACCTGTGAGACCGTATTTCCACCTACGAACCCACACTATCCCTTCGATCTTCTGGAGAGGCCCTTCTTTGGCTCCCCCCCCCCCCAGCATCACAAGTGTGACTTGCGGGGACGAAAGAGAGGGCCTTCTCTGCGATGGCCCCGGCTCTGGAACTCACTTCCCAGAGACATTAGACAAGCCCCCACACTGGCAATCTTCAGTAGGAATTTGAAAACCTGGTTATTCCAATGTGCCTTCAGTGGTTGAATGAAAGATTCTCCCTGACCACACTTTGCACAAAATGTCCTTAGACGCACTTTACTTTATGGGTTGTGCAATGAAATCTTTCCTCATTCCTGGAGCCTCCTCCTTATAAGTTACTCTGCCCTATCTCCCAGTGTTTTTAATATTTTCTATAATTTTATCCATGCATCTGGCCCTGCCTAGTGAAATTTCCTGTGTTTTTAATGCTTGATTTTATATTGTTGTGTTGTATATTATTTTGATTTTGCATTTTATGTATTTTGCTTGTTTTATTGTGTTTGTGTTATAGCTTGTATTGTATTGATGGGCATGGTCTCATGTAAGCTGCACCGAGTCCTCCTGGGGGAGATGGAGCGGGGTATAAATAAAGCTTTATTTATTTATTATTATTTATTCAAATCCAGGGAGAGTGGGTTGAGCTTCTTCTGTCAGGTCCAGCTCCCCATGTGGGAACATGAGAGAAGCCTCCCACAAGGATGATAAAACATCAAACATCCGGACGTCCCCTCAGCACATCCTTGCAGACGGCCAATTCTCTCACACCAGAAGTGACTTGCAGTTTCTCAAGTTGGTACTGACATGGAAAAAAACCCCACAAAACAAACCTTTGAATCACTGCATAAAGCAGTGGATATCTTTTCTTTGAACATTTTTTTCTTTCTATATAGAGTAGCAGTGAAGACTGCAAAATGGCATTCATGGATGTTTTCCAGAAATACCCACATAAGATTCATCAGTCTTCCAAGTGTTGTGCTGTTGAACCTCTTGTTGAGTTCACCCTAAGATGAATCCTGCATGAAACCTCCAATAGAATGTGCCAATGGTGCCTGAATTTGGCTGGACTGGGCAAGACAAAGTGTCAATTAGCAATACCAAAGCTTCACATTGAGTTCCAGAAATTGTTATTCCCCTAGGTACAATGGATTTGTGCCTGGTGTGCTTTAGCCAATTTACACACAGGATTAGATAATTAAAAAAACAAACACTTCTTTCACAGTCTTCCCAGAAAGGGTGCTTGGCAATAATTTGTAAAGCAAGCACCCTTTCTGGGAAGACTGTGAAAAAATTTAAAACTTTCTAGCTAACAAGATGCTACTATCTGATGGATTTTTTGCCACCTGCCTTGGCATTAGTTGATTACAGTGTCAAACCTATAAGAAAAGCTAATGTGGCACACAATAATTTTGCTCTCCCTTCTAAAAGATTCAACTGCTAGAGGCTAGCATTAAATGCATTGACCTAGTATCTCAATTTTCTTAGGAAAGCATTCATTAATGATTTAAGAAAACAGTGTTAACAGTTCTTAGGAAATCATTGAAAAAGAAATGCAAACCTAAATCCAGTGTCATTATTGCAGATTTTTTTTTGGTCAACAAGGTTTTTGCTTTTTCCTCCTCTCTGAAAATCTCCATACTTCTCTACAAAAGAGGCTACTCTGGAGAATTTTTGGTGATATGTTTCAGGACTACAGTAGGCCAGGAAATCCTCTTGGTTTCTCTGATGAGAATATTTTCGTCAGGGGGAGAATCTTTTAAAATATGTGCAATGTGTTTATATTGATCTGCAGTATTATTAATATTTTGTAACAATAAAGTTACAAACATGACCAAATATATTTGCTTAAAATTACCACATGGCATGACTGTTTGCATGGACATTAACATTTTCAAATAAAATATGTTAACCTACTGAAGAAAATATATTATCTACTAATTTCCAAGTTTTGAAAATGGTATTGTTTTTGGAATACTGCTTAAGAAGGTTCAAAATTATGAGGCATTGGTAAAAATTAAAATAAATACTACTATTCTAGCTGAGGAGCCCACTATTCTATAAACATAAGGGGAATAGTTATTTTGGAAAAAAAAAACTCGCATTTCTAAATTCTTCTTGTCTATTTAAATGGAGTGTGAATCCTTTTGTCTACCAGCCTGAAGAAGTCTTAAATCAATGGCCATGGCTTTAGTTAGAATTCTGAACCATCATTTGGTTTATTTTAATAATCATCAAATATATCACAGTACAGATTGTGCTTTATTCAAAATGCTTGGGATGAGAAGTGTTTGGAATATCTTTTTTTTTTCAGAATTTGGAGTACCTGGATTTGAATATTAACATATAATGAGATTTCATGAGCTCATCTACACTGACCACTTAAGTTGGTTCAGAATTGGTTTGGCAGAAACCAGATTCTCAGATTTTGTGTGTTTGGCATCTCAAAAGTAAAGTTTTGGTATGTGACAGGAAGGTGTTATTGCTACCACTGTTCATTCAGATAACATCCAACTTCCAGATATGCTGTTATCAAACAAAATGATTTATTCTAGGAGTAGGCCATATCCATCACACTGAATTACACAACCAGATTCTATTATAAAAACTGTGAGATACCTAGCTTCATTACGACGTCTCTGCTTGTGTGTTGGTATCCTTGGTATAGTTTTGTTTCCAAAAATATAGAAATGAAAAAACCCAACAAATATTGAAATAAATATAATGCCTGTAAATATGGAAATGAGGTGTTTATCTCTGATCTTATGAACCATTTTAAGGTGCCTTCCATGCATTCAGTGGTGGATTTTTGTAACAGCCACCTGTGATGGTTGTATGTAGTGATGTTGAATATGAACAAGCTATCAATAGATGCATTTTCTAATACATAAAGTTACCACGTGGATTATGTAGTGCAATTTTCCTTTTAAAAAGGGGCAAACAAGCCCAAAGAATTAAATCTGTTTTTGCTGTGCACTGATAGATGCTACCAAAGAAGTTGGCTTTTTTTATAAAACGGGTGGGCACAAGTATAAATGCATGGTTTTAGAAAGATGAACTGTGCTGTGACCTTATTTTGTTTTCCATTCATTCCCCCCTTTATAAAGCACCTGTTGTTTCCTACGTTTGATTCCCCCACTTCTTTTGTTCCAGATTCCTATTCATTTTCTTACAGACTTTTGTGGATGTAAGAATGGGAAAAAAGAACTGAAGGAAACCAAGAAAACCTTCAAATTCTCTTTAATGTATTTTTGTCTTCTATGGGCTTTTATTTATCTGTTCCTTGTCAGCGTGACAAGACAACTATCACAGCATGGCAACTGTCTCAGAACTGCACCCATATTGATTTCGATAAATTAGGCTCGATACGGTGATCTGTGGAAAATCTGGGGTAACCTGCAGTCAGTATGCAGTCTTTTGTCAACATTTTCTCATTGTTCTGTCCCCAGGCCGCTTTCCTGATGCTGCCAGTGTGCTTCTTAACAATAGATCTGATAGCATTTTTCATGCTTACTATGAAATGGAATGGTAAAAAAATACCATTTCCCAATCTCCTGAATTATTTAAACCATAAATAAATGTAATAATAAATTTAGGTTTACCATTGGTTTAATAAAATATGATATTTACATATTTTAGGGAGGAGCAGAACATAATATTCCAGTGGTGGTTTCCAAAATTTCCAAAGAGCAACGAGGTAAGTTTTTCCATCAGATTATTTGCCAGCATGGCATAGTAGTTTGAGAGTTGGAGTATGATTCTGAAAGACCACTTTGAATCTCCATTCAGCCATGCAAACCCATGTGATGGTCCTGAACAAGCCACACTCCCTCAGCCTCAGAGGAATGCAATAGCAAACTCCTGTGAACATATCTTGCCAAATAAACCCCATGAGAGGTTTTCCTTAAAGTTGCCATAACCTGGAAATGGCTTGGTAGCAACAGCAAATATTGTTAAACAGATTACATTCAAATAATTCCATATTGTTTTTTGAGTTAATTAAAAATATGGCCACTATATTTGAGTAGCAGGAGTTTCATATCCATCTTTTCTTCCTCTATATTGCATCTCTTAAATGGTATGACTTTTGGCAAAGGCAATCTTAAAGAGGAGGGACTGTTGGGTAAAATAAACAAGACTTTCCTTTGTTAAGTTATGCATGATTTAAAACCTACATAAATATGAGCTTGTATATTTTCAGTGTAATTTTATGTGCAGTAGGGGTTGTTGTTACTATCCAGTGATTGTGGTGACTA